TACATTATTTATTTATTTAGATGTAATGATCTCCTGTAGCATGCTCTATGCATCACATGTATTAAAAAAAACAGATTCAGCACAAACTGTTGAGATCTGACAATAATTAATGAACTGCTGTTACACAATACTGCCAAGTAAACATTATATAATAACTCCCTGTCTCCCACCTCAGCAGCTTAACCTCGTCACAAACATCTCAGAATAAAGGTGGGCTATGCAAAAGTGGTATTTTGTTCGTAGAAGGTTAACAAACCTGGGGTCTTGTAGGCTAAAGAGGAGAGTGAATTCCAAATTCCAATTCAAGCACCTCCACTAATCACAACTGCATATGGGAAGCAAGATGTTTTCTCAGGTCACCAGGTCCCAAGCTGTTTAAGATATGCTCTGCTTTGAATTGTACAGGAGAACTGACTGGCAAGAAACCCTCTGGCCCAGAAAGGGAAGCCATGCTGCATCTCTTTGATGATGGTGAATTATGCTTTGGAAGGCATTGTTCTCCCTGAGTCACAGTGCCTACCAGGTCCCAAACCTTTGGCACTTAAAACTAAACCCTCCTCTTCACCCAAAATGGCTGATGTAACTTTAAGCAGAATTGCCTCCAAACAGAATGTCTTTCAGAGTTTTCCATGAAGTTTCAGGAAGTCTTTTAAGATAAAATAATAATAAAAAAAAGTTTCCACTAAAAATGTCTTAAGGTTTTCAACCATATTAAAACAACACCAACCAACCAACCAAAACCTTAATATTGCAAAGTAAAATATTACAAAAAGTCAGAAAATGCAAATTCTTACAGCAGGCTTAAATTATTCACCGTGCACCTCCTGTATATTTGATGGCATTTAACAACATATACAATAATATTACTAAGCAATACATTTAACAAAAGAGAACAGAAATGCAAAGTATTGCATATATTCAGTGTGGCTGAATTAATGTTTATGTAAGTATCCTTACTTTTACACTTTTGACTATTTTTCATTTAAACAGTGCAGCCTTAATGTTGCATTGTCATAGTCTTTTAACTTAATAATCCTGTGTATTTTGTAAAATATAAACAATAGAACAGGAGGAAACATGGGGTGGGGGTGGAAACACTTTCTACTGCCACCTTTATGAGTATAGGGCTGATGGAAAGTTGGGGTTTTGACAAAATGAAAATTTTTGTGGAAAATGCTTTCCCCAACTTTAAAAAGTTTTTTTTGTCAGAAAACTGCATTTTTTGGGCTGAAAACTGTTTTTTTTCAGATTTTGGCAGATTTTAGATGAAAATTTCAAGTTTTTGTTGAAATTCTTCAGTTTTTGGTTGTTGAAAATCAAAAACATCTAATTTTTTTAAATGAAAAGTCAAACTCTTGTCTGGACCCGTCCCATTTTCCGATCAGTTCAAATTGGGAGTCTGGTAAGTACTACATGGTTTCTTTGGAATGGCACACACTTTGAAGTGTGAAAATGATATATATGCACCTTAAGTAGAATGCAGAAAAGCTGAATATTGTCTCTCAATGTGCTTCAGACCTTATCCAAAGTCCATTAAAGTACATAAATGGAAGTCTTTCCATAGATATAGTAGTATGAAATCCTTACCCATTGGATCATAGAATATTGTAAGAAGCCATATTAGCTGACCTTGTAAGGGTATCATATGTAATAAATGATAAAGTAAACATGCAGTATTCCAAACTATATGGTCTGAGGAATCTGTGATTAATAAGCTGTCCTGGGCATGTGTATCTCTTATGTCATGAACTCTGTACATAAATATGTATTTAATGATAAATATAAAATATGCAGCTGGGTTATTCATTATACCCAATCTACTCATATGGAATAAAGTATGGAGATAATCATAATATTTGAAGCATAGTTGTAGTCAGAAAGGGTAATCTTTACAAACAACATTGAGAGTTTTAATATTAGTTTTCCATATCAGATTTGTTTACAGATCAAATGAGATTTTCAGCTACCTGCATTGTAAACTCTATCTGCAGGGCTGGCTCCAAGCACCAGACGAGAAAGCACGTGCCTGGGGCGGCACATTGTAAGGGGCGGCATTCCGGCCAATCTTGGGGCTGCACATTCCGGCTGTCCTGCCTTGGTTCTTTTTTTTTTTTTTGCTTTGGCAGCCCGGTCCTCTGCTCCGGAGCCCCCCGTCTGGCTCCCCGCGCTCCGCCAGTCCCAGCCCAGCTCTGCAGGGGCACGGACCCTGGCCCAGGAGGGCAGGAACTAGCGATCCCCGCCGCTCACCATGCCGCCGGGCTCCGCGGGACATGCCACTCCATGCTGCCTGCATTGGCCTCTGCCTCCCGCGCTGCTCTGAGCCCGACCCAGCCAAGCTGCCTTTAAAGGAGCGGCTGAGCCAGTACCTCCTGCAGCCCCCCCAGGGGCTCCGCCTGCCCGGCTGGGAGAGACACCCCAAGGCCAGAGGGGGGAGCCCCTCTCGCCCGGCTGCGAGGCTCCACCCTTCACCTCCCTGCGAGCCACCTTGACCGCCCTCCACGTGCTCCCTGCGGCTGCTGTTTTTTGTTGTTGTTTGTTTTTTGCTTCGGCAGTCCGGCCGCCCTTTTTTTTGCTTGGGGCAGCAAAAAAGCTAGAGCCGGCCCTGTCTATCTGGCAATGGAAAACCAAGCTGGGTTCTCTGCAGCCTTTTGCATCATAACAAACATTCAGCATTTCACAATTAGCTGGCAGTTTTGATGATGAGGCATGAGACATAATAGTGTCCACCTTGCCCTACCCTAGTTATATTGGCTCTGCAGCACTGCTGATGGCAGTAAAATCTAATTTGTTTCAATGAAACAATCACGCGATGATTACTTGTTCTGTTCATTCCCTCTGAAGCACCTGACATTACTGTCGGAAGACAGAATTCTGGGCTAGATGGACCATTGGTCTGACCCAGTGTGGCTGTTCTTATGTTCTTAAAGAAGTAGATGAGCTACAAAGACACATAGGAGAGGAAAGGGAGATATTTTTTGAAGAACCTGTTTTTCTACAACAGGAAGTAAGAAAGTGCCATATTTATTTGGCTACTCACTTGGTTACGAACATATTTTAACAAGAGGTAAGGAATTTTTCAATAACTCATTTTTTCATTAAAAAATGTAAGTTTTTGTTGAAACCCAAGCTGTTCACAAAACAAGGTCAGTTTGAACAAATCTCCTGACTTAAAAAAATATTGAGCGGAGAAAAAGTTTTGAAATTGTCAAAATGTCCCATTTCAACTTTTTCAAAACAAAAAGTTTCTGTTTCCAGGCTAAACGACTTTTTGTTTAGAAACTTTAGTAAATGTAGAGTAAAAAAAGTAGACGAAAAGGTCACAATTAGAATGTTAGGTTTTGAAAAGATAAAATGAAATGTTTCAATTGACCCAAACCATTTATTTTTTTGTTTTGGATTTTTACTTCATGAAATTTTTTACGATTTGGGCTTTTTGTCCTGATTAACAACATGAAATTTTTTCGATATCTTGAAAATAATTCATGGAACAGTAAAATTGTTTCCTGGCCTGCTTTAATTTTAATATTTGCCTATTTGAAATTCATTTTGGGTGAGGAGATGCACTGGCTACCTCTATCGCTCATAGAAGAGTTTTTCTGTGAGTCAGTTAAGTTTGTGAATCCAAAGACTCTTGTGGACTGATTTTCAGATGTCTTGAGCACCTACATTCCCATTACCTTTGCTGATGTGGGGTTCAATTGTGGGGGCTTAGCATTTCTGAAAATTAAGGCATTTATTTGGACAAACTGATGTCTGTATGACAAATGTATGTCCAAGTATCTGGAGAAGACTTCACTTTATATATATATACGCACACCCACACAGTGTACCACTAATTTGCAGACATCAGCCTTTTCATTAAAATACTAACTAAAGAAGATAAGTTAATAGTGGGGTATTTTAAGACAATTCTGTCATCAACTCTCTTAGACACTTCCTTTCCCTCTGTAGCCATGGAAAGCTGTTTCTCTACACAATTAGCACATCTGCTAAAGGAACTCCATCTACATGATGTTTGGGTTTCTGGATGAGAATTCCCAAACATAGTTCTCTTTGGACAATCTGAGATGATTTTTTCACTCTGATAGGATGTGGTTTTATTTATTTATTTATTTATTTGGTCTAGTAAACCTATGAGACCAGTGAAGGGAATCACTGACAGTGCAATTCTACCTTCAAATCACTGTCCTGTTGCCCATATTCTCCAATTAGGGAAAAGGACTGTACGTTGTGTGTGGTCCTGCTGACTCCCTATTTATCTGTTAGAAAAGTTTGTGATATTTTTATTAACTTTGTGGAGGATAATGCATTCCCAGAGATGGGTAAAGCAGTAATAACATAATAATGATGTGACATATCCTGTCATATTTAGCAGCTAATAAAAAGACTTGGACAGCTGAGATCAGAAACTTAAATGGCAGAATCCAGTATATGCAAATCCTGCTAAACAGAATCACTGCTAAAATCAGGAATGTCGAATTTTAAATTAGAGACCAAAACTAATAGGCAGCTGAATTTCCTGAAATGTAGTGCATGATCACACTGCAATTGCATCAAATAACTGAACTTATTAATAAACCGGTTGTTAGGAAAAATAAAATCCTATTGAGTAAGATGAGGCAAACTACCATTTTCTGGCTGGGGGAAACTGGCTGTTCCAGATGCTGCCCTTTCTATTGTGGATACATCTTTTATTAATATGCTTTATTTATTTGGAGATCTACGGATGTTTATAATTTCTTTAAAGATTTTTTAATGTCTCTTTCTTAGGCTTTAACTGCTGTATCACCTAGAAATGTATTATACTCTCTGTAGGACTGGAAGGGGTCATCTTAAAAGCTGAAAATTGTCTTGTTGGAAAGACTGTCCCCATCATTTTTCACCCTTAATTCACAGGCAAAACTGGCAGGTAAAGTTGCATTCAGTGCTAATTTACATCACCAATACCATACGGCATCTGATGCTGAACAGGTTGAGGCACCATCACTGTGTATCTTCTTTGCCCGGACAATGTGTCATAGGGTTTTTAAAATCTATATAAGCTTAGAAACTACAGTAATGGGGCCATATAAGTATGCTAGCTAGCTAGCTAGACAGATAGGTGATAAGCCAAAAACAGCTCCACAAACTATTTTCTACTTCATTGTGATGTCAACAGTCCATATTTTCTGTAGAGAACACAGTTTTTAGACACATTGATCTGTTCTCTTTCAGATAAGATCTGTGATCAGATCAGTGATGCTGTGCTAGATGCCCATCTTCAACAAGATCCAGATGCCAAGGTTGCTTGTGGTAAGGACACACATTTTCTTCTTGCACTTAGACTAGATGGAAAAGTGCTTGTAATTTTCCCTTTGTAATGTGTAAATGTAGGAGGTTGATGGCAACATGTGCCCGTTCATTTTTTATTCTAATTATTGTGTTCAAAAATATATGTACAGTAACTCCTCACTTAAAGTTGTCCCACTTAACGTTGTTTTGTTGTTACATTGCTGATCAATTAGAGAACATCCTCGTTTAAAGTTGAGCAATGCTCCCTTATAACGTTGTTTGGCAGCCGCCTGCTTTGTCCACTGCTTGCAGAAAGAGCAGCCCATTGGAGCTAGCTGGTGGGGGCTTGGAATCAGGGTGGACCGGCAGCCCCCTAATCAGCTCCCTGCTCCCTTAAGTTTCCTGTGCGGCAGCCACCCAGCAGGCTATCAATTGCTGGAAGTTCTGCTGTCCCTCCCCGCACTGCCATGTTCTGGTCCTGTCCTTTGCCTTGGAGCTGCTCCTGGGAGCCTCCTGCTAGCTGTGCAGGGGCGGGGGTGGGGGAAGAAGGGGACTAATGTTAGGGTGTCCCCCCCCCCGCTCCTGCCCCTCTCTTACCCCATTTCCATAGAGCAGGGTGGGGACACGACAGGGCTCAGGACGGAGGGAGCGTGCTGGCAGCAGGGGCTGTCTGAACTTGCTGATCTACTTAAAAAGGCAATGTACTTAGAGTGGTGTCAGTGTACTTAAAGGGGAAATGCGCATCTCTCTCTCACACACATAGGGTGTGTGTCTCTGTATCTCTCTGCCATGCTGTCTCCTCTCCCTTCATTTGTGCTGCCTTGTAGAGTGTGAGGCTACATTAACAACAATGTGTTAACCCTTGAGGGCTCAGCTGTTCTAGTTCATCATTTAGCAGAAGGCATTCCCTGGGAAATATCCCACCCTCTTCCATCCTATGACTTCACCAACTCAACCAAGCTTTACAATCATCATTGCTGTGTACAGTATTACATAAGAACATAAGAACGGCCGTACCGCGTCAGACCAAAGGTCCATCTAGCCTAGTATCCTGTCTACCGACAGTGGCCAATGCCAGGTGCCCCAGAGGGAATGAACCTAACAGGCAGTGATCAAGTGATCTCTCTCCTGCCATCCATCTCCATCCTCTAACAAACAGAGGCTAGGGACACCATTCCTTACCCATCCTGGCTAATAGCCATTAATGAATTAACCACCATGAATTTATCCAGTTTTCTTTTAAACGCTGTTATAGTCCTAGCCTTCATAACCTCCTCAGGTAAGGAGTTCCACAAGTTGACTGTGCGCTGTGTGAAGAAGAACTTCCTTTTATTTGTTTTAAACCTGCTGCCTATTAATTTCATTTGGTGACCCCTTGTTCTTGTATTATGGGAATAAGTAAATAACTTTTCCTTATCCACTTTCTCCACATCACTCATGGTTTTATATACCTCTAGCATATCCCCCCTTAGTCTCCTCTTTTCCAAGCTGAAGAGTCCTAGCCTCTTTAATCTCTCCTCATATGGGACCCGTTCCAAACCCCTAATCATTTTAGTTGCCCTTTTCTGAACCTTTTCTAGTGCCTGTATATCTTTTTTGAGATGAGGAGACCACATCTGTATGCAGTATTCGAGATGTGAGCGTACCATTGATTTATATAAGGGCAATAATGTATTCTCCGTCTTATTCTCTATCCCCTTTTTAATGATTCCTAACATCCTGTTTGCTTTTTTGACCGCCTCTGCACACTGCGTGGACATCTTCAGAGAACTATCCACGATGACTCCAAGATCTTTTTCCTGACTCATTGTAGCTAAATTAGCCCCCATCATATTGTATGTATAGTTGGGGCTAATTTTTTCCAATGTGCATTACTTTACATTTATCCAGATTAAATTTCATTTGCCATTTTGTTGCCCAATCCCTTAGTTTTGTGAGATCTTTTTGAAGTTCTTCACAGTCTGCTTTGGTCTTACCTATCTTGAGCAGTTTAGTATCATCTGCAAACTTTGCCACCTCACTGTTTACCCCTTTCTCCAGATCATTTATGAATAAGTTGAATAGGATTGGTCCTAGGACTGACCCTTGGGGAACACCACTAGTTACCCCTCTCCATTCTGAGAATTTACCATTAATTCCTACCCTTTGTAGGAATTTTAACCAGTTCTCAATCCATGAAAGGACCTTCCCTTTTATCCCATGACAGCTTAATTTATGTAAGAGC